TGGTGAAACAAAATGCCCACGAGTTACTCTTGAAGACGGATATTCATATCCCTCCAAGGTTTAAATGAGAGCCTTATCTTCGTTGACGTGGAAATGGGAAGCCGCTATGATTTGATGATTGTCATCAAATTCTGTTTCTGCATACTTGAATTCTCTGAAATGTAGCCCCGTAGAAGTTTCTCAGTGAAGCGGTATAAGTGGGCTGATAAGATTTAAATAACTTCTCTAGCAAGTTCAGATTGCTGGCAATATGGTTCCAAGCCCTCTTTTTTTCAAGTTAATAATTATGTGGAATAAACGCGTTGACGTCGGAGGACCGTGAGCTGAAAAGTCTTGATATCTTCTCTCATTATCCGCATAAGGTAAGCAAAGTGACTTTCTTCCTCCTGGGACATTGGGCAGGTATCCCCCAATATCTGGTGTCTGCACTTGAGAGGTATATTCAGGGTTCTTCAAATTGGTGATTGAGACATGGCGAGGCGAAGGAATTCTTACCAGTAGCATCGTACATAGTTTCATGGCGATTTTAGTGCCCAGGTATCTTGTGTTGTTCCGAGACCTTTGCTGTATTGTAGGGCAATGCCGTAGGCGCGATCTCAAGTGGATGAGTCTAGCCTTACTGAAATGAGTAGTATCGGAGGTTGCCAACACGATATTTTTACAAGATACAATACATTAGCTATATTAAGTGGATAAACAGATCAACTCTAGCTCACTGCAAGCTATTCATGAAGGCAAGTATGTGAAGCCTGGCTTGCACTTCATCTCGGCCTTCACTCATAAGTTCAATCCCAGATGTAGCGTTAGTCATCAACAAAACTGAAGCTTGGAGCTACAAGCGAGTGGGTAGATTGCAGGGATATCCTGGTATATGTCAATACGTCATCTAACAGCTCCTATAAGGAAGTCGGTATGAAGAGCAAAAAAACAAAGGATCAATCCAGCATTTGATGTTCTGTGAAAGAAAAAAAAAGTACGATCCACCGTGAGTACATGTATTTTATCTGACTCTTTTTTGAAACCAAAAGAATGGGCAACCGGCGATGGCGGAGGGAAGCCACGGCAATTCAGTCTGCAAAGCTTCACCTCCACTAGGTTAAATTTTTCCCTCGTTTCATAGCTGCTAAGGGAAAAGCCGGGTCGTTTGTTGGGAGTATAAAAAAGGCGTAGCCGAATATTTACTTAACCGGAATCTACGGTTTTGCTTCTTTTTTCTCCTATTCTAGAATATACGACTTTCATTAATTCCCTCCTTCAGCTAGACATACCTGTGTAGTCCAATTGGCCTCGACGCGCCCATTTCACTTGCTTGGATACACAAAGAGAAGAAAAGGGTACGGCAAAAGATACACAAAATGCTTCGGAGTGCATCGGCAAGAACCGCCTCGGTTGCGATCGCCGGATCGCGCCTATGGCTGAGAACAGCATCGGCTGCTCGTGCCTCCCCTCAGTGCACCCCGCAGACCTCACTTCTGCAATCCGCCTCTGCGACTGTTCCCGCCAGCTACAGAGCCATCCACGCCACACGATCCAACATGGCCGACAAGCGAATCGAGAGCGACGCCTTTGGCGAGATCGAGGTGCCCTCAGACAAGTACTGGGGAGCCCAGACGCAGCGATCGCTGGGCAACTTCAAGATCAACCAGCCCCAGGACCGCATGCCCCCGCCGGTTATCACGGCCTTTGGTATCCTCAAGGGCGCTGCGGCCACGGTGAACATGAAATATGGCCTTGGTACGTAAAATGCTCGCTCGCAGTATATGTGTCGCAAAGGGCGCAACTGGAAGAGGGCGGACGATCGCTTTTGCAATTATACCCTTTGCGCAACATGCACACATACCCGAGTGTTGCGATGATTAGAAGAAAGAGAACAGCCAGACAGAAAAAGCAAGATGCTAGAAAAGGATGCTAACAACTCAATCTTGTTGCTGGCAGATCCCAAGATCGGACAGGCCATCCAGCAGGCCGCCAAGGAAGTTGCTGATGGCAAGCTCCTTGAGCACTTCCCCCTCGTTGTCTGGCAGACCGGTTCTGGCACCCAGTCCAACATGAACGCCAACGAGGTCATCTCCAACCGTGCTATCGAGATCCTTGGCGGCAAGATGGGCTCCAAATCTCCCGTCCACCCCAACGACCACGTCAACCGAAGCGCCTCCTCCAACGACACATTCCCCACCGTCATGCACATCGCCGCCGTTCTCGAGCTCGAGAATGATCTGCTGCCCGCTCTCCACAGCCTTCGAGCAGCTCTTCAGGCAAAGGTGGACGATTTTGAAGCCAAGAAGATTATCAAGATTGGACGCACGCACTTGCAAGATGCTACTCCTCTTACCTTGGCTCAGGAATTCTCTGGCTACGTTGCCCAGCTTGATTTCGGTATCAAGCGTGTCGAGAGCTCCCTGCCCGACTTGAAGCTGCTGGCCCAAGGTGGTACCGCTGTCGGTACTGGCATCAACACCTTTGAGGGGTTTGCCGAGGGTATCGCTGAGGAGGTCAGCAAGATGACTGGCATCACTTTCCAGACTGCACCCAACAAGTTCGAGGCCCTGGCCGCCCACGACGCCATCGTCCAGGCTCATGGTAGCTTGAACACCCTGGCCGGATCCCTCACCAAGATTGCCCAGGATATCCGATACCTGGGAAGCGGTCCCCGATGCGGCCTTGGCGAGCTGATCCTGCCGGAGAACGAGCCCGGTAGCAGCATTATGCCCGGAAAGGTCAACCCCACGCAGTGCGAGGCTCTCACCATGGTTTGCGCCCAGGTCATGGGCAACAACGTCGCTACCTCCATCGGTGGCATGAACGGCCAGTTCGAGCTCAACGTGTACAAGCCGCTGATGATCCGCAACTTGCTGCACAGCTCGCGCATCCTTGCCGATGGCATGCGCTCATTCGAGGAGAACCTCGTCCAAGGCCTGCAGGCCAATGAGGAGAAGATTGCCAGCATCATGAAAGAATCGTAAGCAGCCGCCCCCACTCTCTCCCCTCCTATTCTTCTTTCTTTACATATACTCGTTGTTTTACGGTGAAATGAAACATAATAAAGCTAACTGTTACTATCAATAGTCTGATGCTGGTAACATGCCTCAACCCCAAGATTGGCTACGATATGGCCAGCAAAGTGGCCAAGAATGCCCACAAGAAGGGTTTGACGCTGAAGCAGAGTGCCATGGAGCTCCAGGCGCTGACTGAGGACGAGTTTGACACCCTGGTGAAGCCCGAGCTCATGGTAGGACCGAAGAAGGTATAAAAGCATCTTGGCATATGTGCCGTGTATCTTAGATAAAATGTATAATTAGCTTTAGAGGCTCTTTAAAAATATAATTATGACGATGTTATGAAGACGAAAGCGTTATAATTGAGTATTGTACTACAGGCTTGAGTATCATTAAGATGCTGGTATCTTTTTCTTTGATGTGGTGATTACCTAGCAGAGAAGAAACAAGACAAAACAAGTTGTCTCATAGCGTGTTTAACTATGTTTTCAGGCCATCTACGCCTCGCAAACGATTCTTCATATTGCTATAAGTGCCGGTATTAACCCACAACAGTACTGCACCCCAATAACAGTCTACAGAGGCAAAATGTGGCACCCTAGCATCCCTCGTCCACCCCAATCTTTCCTCGGAGTCAACGTTAATCTTAGCTCTTGGCGGCGAGCAACTCCTTCCGGCCGAGATACTTTGATGAATATGTTTCCCTATTGGCAAAGAGTTAGGAAATGAAGCAAAAGCGGGTCATAGGACTGCGTCAAGAACATACTCCTTCATTACCCTGAACACATTCTGCCACCTTTTTGAGACCATCGTGATTGGATCGGTTCACGTAGCCAAAGTTGCGAATCTCATCCCCAGCTTGTAAGCCGGCTTGCTGAGCTGGACTGTTCGCCGCAACGGAATTAATTCTTGCAAACGGCTCATCTAGCTGCTCGGATTGGGAATCAGGCAAAATCCGGAGCTCATCCCCAGCCGTGCTTGGGGCTGCGTCTCCCTCTTGGACATTGGCAAAATGCTCGTGGAGATACTTTTCGATCACCCCCATGAGTTTTTTATAGTCGTTGCGTAGGCGTATGATGCGCGCTCTTGTTGTACGAACTGTAGCATGCCATGTTAGATGTCACGCTCTTTAAACAGGCGAGTTTTACGAATTACATACTTTGGGCAATATCAAGATCTGCTCTGGGAAAGCCATCTCTGGTTAACAGCGGCGTTTCCATATCAACACCATGCTAGCCATCTTATTAATGATTGGTTCGATAAATATCTGCGTTGATCGAATGAAAAGTTCTGATTGCGTACCGAATCAAGGACGCTTCCTAGGGCTTTTAGTTCTGCTTCCAGATCATCCTTCTTCCGCTGGAGTTCTCCGAAGCTCTGATTCCCTGTATCGCCGTTTCTCTCACTGAAATTGGATGTTGGCCCTGAGGGCACGGTTGGCGCATGAAGTGTGTCCATTCTGAGCGGCGAATCTCATGCTCTAGCTGGAGCGCTGAAAATGGCAGAGGCTCAAGGAGAGAGTGAGTGTGAAGAGAAGTAAATGTCGATATGGATGGCAGAATACTAAGAAGCTTCTTTTAGAGCTTTGTCAGGTAGGCTGCCTGCTGTCATCGCCAGCAGCGAACACCCCAGGGCGTTCATTGCGGGGTCCAGGAACAGTAACAGGCCTACGCACTCGCTGAAGCTTTTGCAGCCTAGCCGCTGAAAGCTTGCCCAAGGTCCTGGAAGCACTCTGAAGCTGCCACTACCCAGAAATACTTTTGCGCCGCTTTGGACGAGCAGACGTGGAGAGTACTGCTGGGTAGCTTTTTGCCTAGTGCGCCCGGTGGATTTCATGGATGCCGGCCCAGGCTTGGCCCGTGCTTGATTTCTCGATACGAAGCATGCTTGGCACTTTTTCAACTAAGAGCAGCACAGACGTCACCTTGCTAACCTTTTTCTTCTATCTTACAAGCTTCGCAGACGCGCTCATCATACAATATCGCCATCGCGACTCGTGCTGCAATGGCTTCAGCAGGAGATGCTCGGCTCATGAAGTCGACCAAATTCCCTGCCGAGTTTAGTCAAAAGGTGGACATGCAAAAGGTCAACCTCCAGGTTATAAAAAAGTTTGTCACTGGGTCCCCATATCTCTCTGCCTTATCATGGAGCTCCGACTTTTCCAGTGCTGACCGCAGACCTCACAGATGGATTGCTAACAGGATCTCTGAAATTCTGGGCAATGAAGACGATGTCGTGATTGAGCTGTGTTTCAATTTGATCGAAGGACCCAGACATGTAAGTTTGCTATTCATTGCTCTTGTTCTTGACATCATCAGCTATAAATCTGCCCTGCTGACCATTGTGGTTGCTAGCCCGACATTAAATCGCTTCAGATACAGCTTACGGGGTTTTTGGACAAAGAGACTGCGCCATTCTGCAAGGAGCTATGGAAATTGCTATTAAGCGCTCAAGGCAACCCGCAGGGCGTACCAAAAGAACTGTTAGAAGCCAAGAAACTGGAGCTGATGCAGGAAAAGGTCGGTACTTTTGCTTCAAGAACGCCCTATTCTTACCGCAGCTAGATCTAACAGCAACCTAGATTGAGGCAGATAAAGCTGCTGAAAATGCTAGAAAGCACCGCGAAGACTCCGACCGTCGTGATCGAGAAGTTACAGAGTTGAAAGATCGAGATCGCCGAGACCGCGCAAACGAAAGGGGCGGTCGACCAGGCCGCCGTGGAGATCGAGCGTCTGAGGGTCGTGGAAGAGGAGGCCATAGTTGGAATGCAAACAGATCACGTTCTCCCGAAACTCGACACCGTGCTACTGGGGACTCGTATCGCCGGGATAGCTATGTGCCTCCGAACCGCAGCGGCCGGGGGCGCGATCGTGGCTGGGCGCGACGGCGAAGTCGCTCACCATCCGAGTCAGGGTCTGAACGATCGCGCTCTCGAAGCAGCAGCATGTCTCGCAGCGACCGAGGCTCCAGGAGTCCTCCACGACGCAAAGGCGGCCCAGGTCGTTATAGAGATTCAAGAAAAAGATCCAGGTCCCCTCGCGGAGATGCTTATCGACCAAGACGCCAATCGCGCAACGGTAGAGATCGTCGTGACGCTCGAAATAGACGCTCAGCTTCTTCAGAGCGCGCCTCACCTCCACCAAAGCGAAGACGGCAGTCTGCCTCTAGGAGTCGGTCAGTCGAGCGCAGGAGACGTTACTCGGCAACTCCATCCTCTCGCTCGAGGAGTCCTTCGGAAGCGCGTAGCCGCAGTCCTGTCCGTAGCCGCAGTCCTGTCCGTCGCCGCAATCGATCCATGGACAGCCCCCGATCAAACTCGCCTCCAAAGCGCCGACGAGAACGCCGAAGAGGTGGCGCCGCTGATGAGTCTGGGTCGGATAATGACAACGGACGTCGCCGCCGTAATAATCGTCGCCGTAACGATAATGAAGCCTCAGCAAAGGGCAAGGAATCTGAAAGGCTGAGACGCAATAGCTCTTCCGCGCCCTCGTCTCCGTCAAATCGTGGCAAGCCAGCTGATACTTTGGAAGATTGAACTATGTGCTCCGAATCCTTAGCTATCTCTAGACAGCTATTGGCAGCTCGAGATGTGAGTAAAGTCTTTTGTTGGTGGAAGAAGCGAATGGCTGGTCTCTAGTTTCTGGGCTGACGCCGAATGAATGATACTTGGTGAAGCATCAAAACATCATAAAGCTCACCACTCCGAATACACCTGTGCCAGAGGGCTTTTGCCAAGCGAGCTCTTGTAAAGAGAGATTAAGCAGATGAGAATCTTTGACACCGGCATACAACAACAACAGCTGAGGCTAACTGCTGCTAAAGCACCCGTCTCCAGAAAAAGAAAAGAGAATGGCACTCATACTTGCTAAGGAAGTACTAGTATGAAAGAGCCGAAAAAAAGCCTGGTTAGATCTACCAAAGTACACGTTGGAAAGAAAAAGCGACGCTTGTTTGTAACTGCAACTGCACCAGTATCAATAAGTAGTAGCCCTCGACAGTCATTCCTCGCAGCATATATCTTCAAGTAGGAGCTAGTAGAAGCTACGATAGAAGTAGGTCCATCATCTCAGGCGGTAATTTATCATTCATACCTTATATATACGTAATTACCTGCGCCATGTTGATAATTCAGAGTATTGCGAGCGTTGTCAACCTTGGCTGGTTTGCAAGGCCTAGCGGCGAGCAACGATCAGCTGAAGTGGAGTGACATTCGCTGCAGCGTTTTAGCGCCTCTCAATCCCGCTGCCAGAACTTCGGTTACTTTTCATGACAGCATCAAAACTACCGGTCGCCAACCTCATTCCATCCACAACTTGACGACCGCATCGCCGTGACGCCGACAGCCATCGGATATACGAGCGGCCGCGCATGGCTGATAATATACAAGCATCTACATCCCGACCCGGCGAAGCGCAACCAACCATGGCAGAGTACAAGAAAGCACAGGCGCGCGTGCGAGATTTGGTCGACCGCCGCAGGCAACTGGAACGGCGCCTTGTGAGTTTTGCGATTGACTTTTTATCCTTATCCTTGTTGTGGCGCATCGTTCAACTGCTAATCAATGAGATATCGTCATAGGCCTCGATGGAAGAGAGCATCGCCCAGAAGGAAACCGCCTATCTCGACAGCACCCCCAGCGGCAACATCATCACTGGCTTTGACAACTACATGAAGGGAACAAGTGGCGCGGCAGCCCAGCGACGAAAAACGGGCCCGGCGGAACAGAATCGCGTGTTTTCGCGCTCATCAATTTCATATCGACCGAATAACGGGGTAAGACTGCCCGGTCTGGAAGATTATACACTGAGATATCATCGGTTATTGTTGTGTTCATGGGTATTAACTGGATATCTCTTTGTTTTTAGGACTCTTCGGCTCCTGGATCAGTAGGCTCGACTCCTGCTCCGACACCGTTATCCACCACGTTTCGAGACAGCGCATCAGGCAATCCTACGCCGACGTCCGCGGGCGGGAATAAAGCGAACAAGCCCAAGAAGAGAGATACGGAAGATAGCGAGAATGATACGCAGATTAATAAGAAGCGAACGAATTTTGGGGCTTCGAGGAAGTGACAAGGTTGAAGAGCTACTTTGTGGCTATTACAATGTTGGTATTTTCGAGGGGCGCTTTGCGGTTTCCTCGGGGCGCACGCATTTGTGACTCCTTGGAAAGGGACAAATGGGTATAGCATGGGCGTTTTTAGAAGGATGGCATGTGGCCGGATAGGAGTATATGACATGCACGGCGTTTGGGCGGTATGGTAGTGCTTCAGAAGGTATTTGCGATTGGTCGGCGTTGAAAGATGTTGGTAGAAGCAAGATGACAATAGCTAGATATCATCTTCGTTATCAATATCAATGTTTTCAAAAAACCAGATTTCTTCTTAGGGAGTTATTCAATTGACCTACCAAGAGTTGTCAGCATTCCTTTAGAAGGTTTATTGTCTCGGACTCTTTCCAAGGCTGTTTTCTTGCGACAGGGTTGCCAGAGCTTCAATTGCTCGGCCTCTCTCCCGGTAGTTACTCCCACTGACTTCTTTCCGTGCGGTGTCTGCACTTTTGACGGTCACAACTGAGCGGGTGGCCCAGCAGGTACTCTTCCCCATGGCAGGAGTAGGTTGATTTTGGCAAGTTGATATACTTCAATTGCTACTCCAGCTACCATACTGCTGCTACTGCTACTTCTACTACTTCTCCTACTTCTACTACTTCTACTACTTCTACTACTTCTACTACTTCTACTACTTCTACTACTTCTACTACTTCTACTACTTCTACTACTTCTACTACTTCTACTACTTCTACTACTTCTACTACTTCTACTACTTCTACTACTTCTACTACTCTAGCTACTCTAGCTACTGCTACTGCTGCTACTGCTGCTATTGCTTCTTGCCTCTTTCCATTTTGCCTTAGGCGCAGTGTGCTCCACCTATTCGTACCTTCCCTCCTCGTCCAGACTCAATACTACATATATAATAAGAGCCCCCCTCTTCGAAGAATCTCCAGACTTTCATAAACTTTTCACCGTCCAAGAGCTCTTCGATCTCTTTACTTGGCATGCTGTCACGTCGCACGTTCTCACATACTACATCTGTCCGGCATACAAAATTCTCCTTGGCGGCGAATTATACTTTCTCCAAACATGCACTGTGACGCCGCTGAGTTTCCCGTCGACTCTTAAGGACGTTCATCTGTCGACTTCTCCGCCAAAGTTAGAATTATTCCGCTCTTTAACAGCTGAGCTCAGCCGTGATAAAGTTTGTGCCATCTATATCCTCATCATGGAGAAATCTGGCGAGAAACCTGGCGAGAAACCCAAGCTCTGTGTTGGCTCTGGCACCAACAGCCTATATGGTGTTCGATCGAGGCTCGCGAATTATGACCAACTCACCCTTCTACCTCGCTTTAGCGGCCTTGCGTTTCGAGCTGGTTACTCAATCACTCATCGTAGCTTGATTTGCTGGGCGCCGATCCCCCCGTGACTCAGGTTCCTTCAGCTCGACTCCGCTTTCTTGCTCTTGAAGCTCTCTTCTGCATTCTCTTCTTCGCCGGCCCAAAATCTCTTGACGCAGCATGGTCCAATATATTGCAATGGAAACGAGAGTCTGTCGACTGGCTGGCGCTCTGTAGTCACGTACCTTTTATAGAGTTGCCGGAAGGTCTTAATATGACAGACGACGAACTTCTTGAATACGCAGAAAAGCGACGCCAGCACACAGTGGAGCTCTCTAGGCTGTATGAATAAAGGGCCAAGGCGAAGGATTTGAAGGGATATCTTGCACGCAGGCTTCGAGACAAAATGATATGGACTAAGCTTCATCCCGAGAGAGTGAGCGAGATTGCCCTCGGTGTTCGGAGACGCGCCAAAGCATCAGGCAAGCACCGTTGCGAAACCTGTAACATCAACCTCGCCTCGATCACAGCCTTCAACAAATACCTTAACACCAAAGCTCACAAAGAGCAGGTCAGGCTGTCACAGGGCGGCAGGCTAAAGGCAGTTTCTATGGGGACGATGAGATCGAGGGCATTCTATGCAAAGGACAAGACGAACAAGACGCATTATTGTTCAATTTGCGACATGATTTTCAGCATAAAAGGCTACATCGACAAGCATCTCAAAACCACGAAACATCTGCGCAAAGCTGCCAGGAGAGTACAATAGAAGGGATTAAATCAAGATGCATATATATAAGATTTCGAGTAGATTAAAAATAAAAGCCAGAGCTATTTACTATACTTACCTTATATTATAGTAGATATAGTAGATATAGTAGATATAGTAGATATAGTAGATATAGTAGATATAGTAGATATAGTAGATATAGTAGATATAGTAGATATAGTAGATATAGTAGATATAGTAGATATAGTAGAT